GTTATTATCTAGCTTCTTAGTCCAACACTGCACCAAACGCTTTTAGTCCAGCTTAGTCCTTGAAGCTAGTCCAGTCCGAGATAATCCGTCGTAACAAACGCTCCCTCAAAGACTGAAAGTCAAGCTACGACCCCTGCATTGCTTTTGATGATACTCAATACAAAAATCTATGATTTTATGATCAGTCATCAAAAAATGAAAAACATGACTACCCTTCTTTTGATTTTCTCCGTTTTTATTCTGCTCAGCTTTCCGACCAGTACGGAAGCTGATTACCTGGTTCACTACTGCCCAAACACCACTACCTTCACCCCAAACTCCACCTTCCAGTCCAACCTCAACCGCCTCCTTTCCACCCTCTCCTCCAACGCTAACCGTTCCACCGGTTTCTACAACGCCACAGTCCAAACCACAAACAACGCCGTCTACGGCCTTTTCCTCTGCCGCGGCGACGTCGCGGGAACCCAAGCTTGCGAAACCTGTGTCGCCACCGCAATTTCCGAGGCCCCACAACGCTGCCCCGTAGAAAAACAGGTGGTGATCGGTTACGACGACTGCATGCTACGCTACTCCAACGAGTCATTCTTCTCCACCGCCACCGAGTCGCCCCGCCTGTACATGTCGAACAATAAAAACGCCACCGACCCGACTCGGTTCAACCAGGTCCTGGCGGCCAGTATGAACATGGTGGCTACCGAGGCTGCCAACGACGCCGACAAGTTCGCGACGAATCAAGCAAATGTAAGCGGGTTGATTTCGGTGTACAGCCTCGGGCAGTGCACGCAGGACCTGTCGGAAGCGGATTGTAACCGCTGTCTTCGGTTGGCCATAGCCCAACTTCCGAATTGCTGTAATGGGAAACTCGGAGGACGAGTTTTGTTTCCGAGTTGTCATGTTAGGTACGAAGTCTACCCCTTCTACGCCAAGAACTCCATGTCAGCACCTGAGCCTGCACCAGGGCCGCCTCCTCCTCTCCCTCCTCCGCCTACAGGTGAAGTGACCATTTCTTCAATTCAAATTTAATTTTTAAAGTTGACCACTTTAAACTGAAGAAAATATGAATACGTTGAAATTTTATTCGAGCGATATTCTAATCTGATACGGAAAAGGGGTTCAAATTTGAGTGTAAAGGGTACAACCGTGACTGAAGCTTCTGCTTATAAGCATTTTTGCTTGAAATGCTTTCATTAAAACTCTAATTAGTGTTTACTTAAGTGCTTCTAGGCATGTACTTCTTTGAAAAGTGCTTCTATTATGTAGTTTGAAGTTTTTCTCCCAAATGTTGTCGGAAAGGCGAACTGTCACAAAACGTTTCTAACCTTTTTGGAAGCCCCAATCAAGTGATTATTGTATTATCAGATTAGTTTGTTAGGTAATTGATAGCTATTGTGGACTTTGGAGCAGGGGAATATGGAGTTGTGCTGTGGCTGCTGATTTTACCCATTTCTCAATATTTTTTGTTTATTTTGCAGGAAAAAGCAAAACCCCAACTAGTACAATTGTTGCCATTGCTGTACCAATATCTGTATCTGTGCTACTTTTTGTTGTGGGTTACTGCTGCATAACTAGGAGAGCAAGAAAGAAGTACAATCAAGCAGCAGCAGACGAACCAAGCGGTAAACAAATATATCCTTCTGCGATTCTCCTCCTGTTTATTGTTGTTGATTCTCCTTTCCTTTATTCCTCGCCTATAAACATTGTGCTTCTATGGTTTGGTTGGTTGTGCAGGTGAGAATGACATTACTACTGTCGAGTCTTTGCAATTTGATTTTGCTACCATCCAAGCAGCTACGAGCAATTTCTCCGATGATCACAAGTTAGGCGAAGGTGGTTTCGGTCAAGTTTACAAGGTATGTTAATCATTATATGACATGAGTGCTCCTTCAGGTCTACAAAGTTCCAACTTTTATGCATGCAAAATCTGAATAATTTTGGAGCCTCATAAGCCGTCCATGAATGCCATGAGTGGACATTCCATTGTTTGATTGATGTTTTATCGCAGGGTATACTTTCAAACGGCCAAGAAGTAGCTGTGAAGAGGCTATCAATGAACTCTGACCAAGGCGCGGAAGAGTTTAAGAACGAGATGGTATTGGTAGCCAAGCTTCAACACCGAAATTTGGTTAGGCTCTTGGGATTTTGCTTGGAAGGCGAAGAAAAGATTCTTGTTTATGAATATGTGCCCAACAAAAGCCTTGACCATTTCCTATTTGGTTTGTACACTCAAACATCTGATTGTTTTTCCCTATTGCAATAGCAGTACTATATTTGTCGATGATAACTTGATTTTATGGTTTGCAGACCCCGAGAAACAAGGACAATTGGATTGGTCAAGACGTTACAAGATTATTTCAGGAATTGCTCGAGGAATTATGTACCTGCATGAAGATTCCCGACTTAGAATTATACATCGTGATCTCAAAGCCAGCAATATATTGTTAGATGGGGAGATGCATCCAAAAATATCTGATTTTGGCATGGCCAGGATCTTTGGGGTTGATCAAACTCAAGCAAACACAAACAGAATTGTCGGAACATTGTAAGTTACCTATTTCATTATTTTCTCACGACCACTTCTGTTTTGCAATTATCGAATTGAATCTGAAATGTTTTCTGGTTACATCTTTGTTGTAATTTCTGTACTGATTGTTATGCTCCTTGTAGTGGTTATATGTCTCCCGAGTATGCAATGCACGGACGTTTTTCTGTTAAGTCCGATTTGTATAGTTTTGGTGTTTTAGTGCTAGAAATCATCGCTGGCAAGAAGAACAGTTACTTCCTTCAGACCGATGCAGCTGAGGACCTCCTAAGCCATGTAAGCTTAAAATGAAAAGTGTAGTGTTCTGTTCTCCTGCATTGACATAGCATCATGAATTAAACTTATGAATTTTATGCAGGCTTGGAAGTTATGGAAAGATGGGGCACCTTTGGAATTGTTGGATCCGTGTCTGAGAGACTCTTATTCGAGGACTGAAGTAATCAGATGCATCCATATCAGCTTACTTTGTGTTCAGGAAGATCCAGCTGACAGGCCTACAATGCAATCAGTAATTCTCATGCTCAATAGCTACTCTCTTACTCTGCCATTACCTCAACAACCGGTATTTTTCCACCAAAGTAGAGCAGTGGGAAACATGTCAGAGGCAACGATGGACTCCGCTCAATCTATCAGCAAGTCATCTCCGTCCGTTTATGAAAAATCTATCACTGAAGTATACCCTAGATAAGCTGTTACTGTCACGTATTGTAATATCTGCTTATATATAGACTCATCTCTAGACAATAACAAAATTTACCGATATGGTATCATCCGTCCTTAAAAAGATGAACGTTCTGCACATACAAGTTTTAGGCGAAATTTCGGTTTGTTTATATGATAGTAAATCGCATAAAATTCTGCATGTGCTCGGACTCTACATATCTGTTTATATTTATGTGTTAGAAAACATGAAACTTGAATTTGGTTTCCTACTATGAACGACCATTGTTAGGATTGAAAACATCAAAGATGCAATTGTAATCTGTATTCTGAGTTTCTTCAATGTCTTGATTTTCCACATAACGTGATTGGCATGGTTTAGTGAGTCCTTTTGTTTGTAATAACCGAATTAAACATTTTGATACTCACTATCGTAACGATCATTTTCAAGCATCTTCCTCAAATTGTACGTTCTATTTTTTTGGAAGATGTTATTAGCACTCCTTGAATCTTAATCTACACTCCTATATTTTTTTTAAATCTATTATAATCTACTAGAATCTTGAAAACCTCATTAAATATAAATTTAATGACATAAATATTATGGGGAGCTGTAGAGACCCTTTTTTTTACACCTCTCTTAAAATTCTTCATTCTTCGTCCTCAATTCTTTTTTTTTTTTTTTTTTTTTTTTTTAACTTTGAGTCCGACCAAAATTCTTGTTTTTTTTCATCGATAAACAACCATATATGAACCCGATACTACTGGAAAGTTTTGATGTAATTTACATGGTGAAATGGAATAAATATGACTTGAGTGATCCTTCTAACTCTCTTGAATCAAATTTTCATGGTATGTCTTCTCATGACTTCTTTTTTTTTATTACTATTTTAATTATTTCCGGTTCTATAACATTATATTTGGATGAAGAAATTTAAGATTACTAAGAAATTTTAAAATGATGAAAATTGAAATGACGAGATTTTATTTTCTAGAATTTGTGAATTTTCTTGTTTGGTTAACCAAAATAAACAATGGAATTGAATATAGAATTTGTTATTTTTAAACTCTAATCATAGAAATTGAGAAATGACACCTATTTAAATGAAATTTAAACTTGGGAATTGGAGGTTCCAAATTCCAAGTTTTGCAAAAATTCTAAATTTCTATATTTATGAATCCAAACAAGGAAATTGGTGCATGTCAATTTATAAATTCAAATTTTAATCCAAATTCTAAGTTTATTTTCCTCATCTAAATATAGTGTAAGTGTTTCATTATGGGTTTGAACACATTTGTATTTTAATCTCAATTTCGTAAATTAGATACTCACTATCATAGATTAGAATTAGGACTTACCAGTAGACAAATTTATTTGTTGGTGCAAGAAGAGGAAAACAGTACTCTCGAAATCCGGGAAATCCCACCAATTTATTTATGTCATTAAGTTATACGTAATGAAGCTTTCAAGATTCTAGAGACATTAAAAACAAAGGGTAAGATTGGAAATCAAATTAAAAGAAGTGGAATAATAAACAAAAATATATGAGGTGTGCATATTCAGATTTTAGAGGATTAATAACAGCTTTTTTTTTTTTTTTTTCTCTCAATGTATCATTTATCTAGTATAGATGTACATAAAGTAGAAAACAAAAATTCTGTTCTTTTCTGCCAATCCATGATTCCACCGAGACCCACAAAGGAGGAGGAACCTTTTCCAAGTCGCCGAAGGCTAAAGAAGTCTTGAAAGCATTAATTGAATGTGTTCAGTAGTTGAGCCTTAGGACAAAACTTGTCCGCCAGTTCAAACACTTAGGACAAAACTTGTCTGCCAGTTCAAACACTCCTCCATTCATACATGGCTACATTTCAATCATGAACAGATCACTTTGCAAAGCCAAAAGAAGAAGAAGAAGACGAAGACGAAGAAACCGTCAAACACGGGTTACAGATGTATCAGCTGATCTAAACCTTTCTTATGCACGCAAGGTACGTACAAGGAGGTGACATATGATCACAATGCTTTCCATCAATCTGAATGTGTTCATGACTCTTGTGCTGATCGGCTTCCTAAGCCTCAGCCGTACTAGTGAAGCTGCCCCAAATTACCGCTACCATGTCTGTGATAACACAACCAGTTTGGCTCCCAACAGCACCTACCAGTCAAACCTTAACCTCCTCCTCTCTTCTCTTACCTCCAATGCAACCATTGACACCGGATACTACTACACTACCGCCGGCTCTGAAGATTCCAACTCTGCAGTTTACGGTGCTTTTCTGTGTCGCGGCGATCTCACAGCCAGCAAATGCCAAGATTGTGTTACTGCTGCGGCCAGAGAAGCAGTTCAAATGTACTGCCCCTTAAGAAAAGTGACTCTGTTATGGTACGATGAGTGCATGTTACGCTACACAAACGTGTCTTTCTTCCGTAAACTGGATGAAAGCCCTAGGGGCTTTCTGTGGAACGTGGAGAATGCTAGTGAACCAAACCGGTTTAGGCAACTGGTGGCTGAGACTGTCACTGGCCTAGTGTCCGTAGCTGCAAACGCACCTTCCCGTGCTAAAAAACTTGCAACCAAAGAAGAAAACTTTACTGGGTTTGAGGAGCTGTATAGCCTTGCGCAGTGCACGCCTGACCTATCAAGCACCGATTGTGATCAGTGTCTTAGAGGAGCTATTGCACTTTTTCCGGCATGCTGTGACGGAAAGCTAGGAGGAAGAGTTTTGTTTCCTAGTTGTAATGTTAGATATGAGGTGTATCCATTTTATACACTTGTTGCTGCCGCACCTCCGCCCACACCAGTTTTTCTTCCTCCTCCACCTATTCAGCCTCCAGGCTCAGTGCCAAGATCTCATGGTAAATTTAATTTATATGAGGCAGTTAAGTGTTCAGAATTTTTACACGTACATTTGTGTATTAAAAAGAATATTATGTTGTGCAGGAAATGATGAACAAATTTCATCATGGATCGTAGTGGCGATTGTTGTTCCAATTGCACTATTGCTTTTCTTGGTAGGCTGCCTTTTCCATAGAAGAAGAGCGAAGAAAAAGTACAATGTGATACAAGAACAAAATGGTAAATATTAAAGTTTTATTTATTCTTTTCCATATCCAGTGAAATTATATAATTTCGACTCCTAATCGGTTTGACTCTGGATTATGATTAATTTACTGAATCAAGATTAATAAACTTCTGTTCTTGATTGTGTAAGCAGTGGGGACGGAAATAAATGCTGTCGAGTCATTGCAGTTTAGTTTTGCTACAATTGAAGCAGCGACAAACAAGTTCTCTGTTCATAACAAGCTAGGGAAGGGTGGCTTCGGTGAGGTCTACAAGGTTGTGATTTTCACATAGCAAATTTATGATCTTAATTTGCCAGAGTCCCAGAGCTGGGCGTAGCTAAGTTGGCTAGAGCAAAGTGATAAGTTGAACTCATGAAATCTCAATTTGATGCTTGTAATGATTGGTTAAAATGTTTTCAGGGCATATTTCCTGATGGGCAACAAGTGGCCGTGAAGAGGTTGTCTAGGGGATCCGGGCAAGGCGCTGAGGAGTTTAAGAATGAGGTTGTTTTGGTAGCTAAGCTTCAGCACAGAAACTTAGTGAGGCTACTAGGATTTTGCTCCGAAGGTCCAGAAAAGATACTTGTTTACGAATTTGTGCAGAACAAAAGCCTTGACCACTTTCTATATGGTATGTACCCTTCTAATAAGATTTAGGTATCATGTGTGATATCGTATGCTATTTGATTACACTTGGATTTGTAACAAACCAAGGAAAATCTTTGCTTTCAAATGTCTACATAGACTCCGGGGATCAAGTGAAATTGGACTGGCCAAGCAGATACAAGATTATCAACGGGATTGCTCGAGGGATTCTCTATCTCCATCATGATTCACGGCTTAAAATCATACATCGTGATCTTAAAGCGAGTAATGTATTGTTAGATGGGGAAATGAACCCAAAAATTGCCGATTTTGGTATGGCAAGAATATTTAGAGTTGATCAAACTCAAGGAAACACAAGAAGGGTTGTGGGAACGTAGTAAGTAATACAAAACTTTATTTATGGTAACATAATCTATTTGAAAAGTTGATTGATTTAATTCTCATCCTAAAATGTAATTACTGAAAAGAAAAGATACCAAATTAACAACTCAAAGATTCATCTCCTCAAGCCGTATTCGCACTAACATTTACTGATGTTGCTGGTTTATAGTGGTTATATTGCCCCAGAATATGCGATGCATGGACTGTTCTCTGTGAAGTCTGATGTGTACAGTCTTGGTGTCTTGATCTTAGAGATTGTAACTGGCAAGAAGAACACTAATTTCTATAACTCAGACAACGGCGAAGACCTCTTGAGCCATGTAAGTATAAGTTGAAGATTCAGTGTGCATTTGTGGTTAATTCTATTAAAAGTGTTGAAAACATTTTTGTCGCAACATTTTGAATGAATCTTTAATTTTTTTTGCAGGTTTGGAGACATTGGAGGGACGGGACACCGTTAGAATTGCTGGACGTAAATCTAAGAGATTCATATTCAAGAAGTGAAGTAATTAGATGTATCCATATTGGGTTACTCTGTGTTCAGGAAAATCCAGATGATAGACCGAAAATGCAAAAGATACTTCTCATGCTAAGCAGTTACTCTTTGAGTATGCCATCACCTCAAAAGCCAGCATATTTCCTGCACAGTAGGACAGATCCGAACATGCCAGCAATGAATTGTAGCTCATCTGATCAACCTGCTAGCAACTCATTGTCATTATCTGTTAATGAAGCATCGATTACTGAACTATACCCTCGATAGTAAATCGAGCAAAGTGTGATCAATCTTCTAGGATCGGAGTTCAAAAGTTTTGAGATTTGTGTTGGTTTTGCTAGCCTTTTGGGCATTGTATTTTTAATAGTGCTTGCTAGAATAAAACTAAACTTTGCAAGTGCACTCAAAGTGTTTGATCGGTTTGCAAATTCCTATAAAAACCTTTATTATGTTGCAAACTTTCCTAGTTTAAGTGTGATTGTGTACATCCTAGATTAGATTTTATTCTAGTTATACTTTTCTATTATAACTTGTATTCCTTGGGGACGAAGGAATTTCTTCTCTCCTTTACTACTATAAATAAAGGCACTATGTGAGAGAGATAACACACACATTCCCCTACAATTCTACAAACACATCTCTCTCAATCTCTCTTCTCCTTGTTGCTGGCCCTCTTACCCTAGTCAGATAAAATAGGTTACAACACGTTCACTGCGCTTAGGAATTTGACGAGGAAATTTTCTGCATCAAACCAGTTTATCCATATCATTATGCGATCAAGTTCTTTCAAAACAACGTTTTTATCTCGATATTTTTGTAGCCCTGATAACATGAACATTCACCATAATGCATGACCCAACTTTATATTTTTCGAATTTTAGATTCCACATAAATTGTGTATGCATTATATTCATAATTGTTGAATTATGTGAATTTGATATTAACCATGAATTGCATCAAATATATGTACATGCATTAAACTATTGAATTGAATATGCTTTGGATTGAATTGTACATGAATTGAATTGAAAACAAAAAAAAATAAAAAATAAAAAGAAACAAGAATCAACCGCTAGGGTTCTTCGAACCCCCTACCTTGCCCAGGCCTGCAACTTGCAGGCTAAGTTGCGCCGAGCCGGAGCCATCGGCTCCTGGCCTGACCCTATGTCACTAGGCTCCCCACGCTAAGTCGAGAACCATTAAGCCACGGAGCCACAAGCTTCACAACCTAGAAAAACCCGACACCATTAATGGTGTCCGTGTCCACATCGACCACAGGCATGGCCTACAGCCACTGCCCTGAACCTTTGGTTCATGTCACCGATGACCAAAAGTCGTCCCACGTCGAAAATAATCGAATCTCATCAGAAATTTTCAAAAATCCGATTCAAATTTTCTAGGGTTTGGTTGTTATAACGTTAAGATTACATCATCTCCGTTCACCACCGTAGTTGTCAACGACCACCATGACTCAACCCAAGTCCTAACAACCCTTTCTCGCCGCCAGTAACGACAATGTCGTGCTTTTCCTCCGATATGGACACCCAGCACGGTTGGGTTTTTGTGTTCCGTTCAACACCCAGCCCTTTGGGCTTGAACCCCCCATTCTCGGCCTATCAGTGAAAAAAAAAGAAAAAAAAAGTTTTTTTTAGCCTGCAAACTGAGCCCATTCGCTGACTACCTCCCTTAATCCATTTGTGACACTAGCCCACTTAGGCTTGGGAGTCCTTGTGTCCTCACCGCATTAGAACCGTGCCGCCTCTGATTTGGGCCTGTAGCCCAGCCAAGCATAACCCAAATCGAGTTTATTTGTCTAATTATTTTAGGCCTAATGGGTTTTATATTTTGTCACCCACATTTTAATCTTGGCTCGAAGTCCAAGTAATTAATTCAATTATAATTGTAGACCTGAAGTTCTATTTGCATATTTTCTTGTTGCATATTTATGTGTATATATTTGCATTTGTCTGCAGGAACATATAAACCTGAAGTTTCTATAAACATGCTTTGTTTGAAAACCTGAAATTTTCATTAAACAAAACATCACCCATGAAAATCTGAAGTTTTTTTTCATGCGAATATTAATTAATACATGTCTATTAGAACATGAATGTTCTACTCCTATGTGAATGGATTGATTTTTTTTTTCACCGCTTTGGAGGTTTCTGGAAGGAACTACCTCAAGTGGGTCCAAGATGTGAAGCTCCACCTCATTGCAAAGAACTTGCGTCCCATCATTGAAGAAGAGACGGACAATCTGGTTGACGAAACTGAGAAAGCCACTGCTATGATCTTTATCCGAAGACATATTCATGACGCCTTGTAAACTGAGTACCTTGCTGAGGAGGATCCAAGCGCACTATGGGTAGCTTTGGCTAATCGTTTTGATCATCAAAATGACATCTTCTTGCCTGAAGCAAGACATGACTGGCAGCGTTTGAGCTTCCAAGAATTTAAGTCTGTGAATGAATATAATTCTGAAGTTTGTCGAATCTGATCACTTCTCAAGTTTTGTAATGAAACTTTGACCGAAGAGGATCTCCTAGAGAAGACCTATTCGACATTCTCTGCTACTAATATTGTCCTGCAGCAACAATATAGAGCTCAGAAGTTCACTAAGTACTTGGATTTGATCTCTGTTTTACTTCTCATTAAAAAGTAGAACTAGTTGTTAATTAAGAATTATCAAGCTCGACTTACTAGGACAAGTGTTGTGCTTAAAGCACATTATAGCACAAACCAACGCCCAAAACGCCAAAAGAGGCGTAAGTGCTCAAACCTCGCTCCCAAGGCCCCAAACTTCAAGAATAAGGGCAAAGCACCTGAAACCATGAATGCAAATATGTATTATCGCTGTGGTTCAAAGGACCATTGGTCCCGTGTTTGCCGAGCTCCCAAGAAAGTTGTAGCTGAATATCATTCTCGTCATAAGAAGTTTGAACCAAAGTTCGTGCAAGTGGACGAACCAGAGACTACAAAGATGGAGGTTTCTGACTTTCAAGAGGATACCACCCTTATGGAAGATTAAAATCTTAGACATAAACTATTTTTTAGTTAAAATTGCACAATGAGGCCGAATTCCACCTAGTGGCTGAACCCCCCTTGTTTTTTGGTTGATTTTTTGAACAATTTTCCTTTATGTTTGCATTATTTGTTGGTGATTTGTTTTTGGATATTAAATTTTAATTAATTACCATCCTTGATAAATGAAATTATTTTGAATTGATATTTGTTTTTAGAACTTTTTTGCATATGACTGATTCAAATTAATTTTTCATTCTAGGTATGACTAGTGGGGAAGTTAGTTGTATGGCAAATAGTGCAACCACGCACACCGTTTTGCGTGAATGCATCTAAGAATGCACCTCTGACAATCTCTCAAGCCCATCTAACCTGATTGAAGGATACGATAAGGCATATATAATGTTGTCTAATGGTACAATCTTGACAATTGCTGAGGCACTCTATTCTCCACGTTCCAGAATAACGTTGTTGAGTTTCAAGGACATTATAGATAACAATTACCACACTGAAACCCACGCAGAAAACAAAGTTGAATTTCTGTGCATAACTTCCTACGAATATGGTCAGAAGGGTATTATAGAGAAAATGGAGCGTATCTTGAGTGGGTCTGTATACTATGATCATACGAATGCTACTATGTGGTCGGCTCTACTACTAGGACCGCGCATGAAAATACACTTTAGCATGATCACTTGGGATATCCTAGACGAATAGCGATGCACCGTATCCTCAAATCATCACACGAGCATCCACTAACCCGAAGTTTAGGTTCGATCCAAGGTGTAACATCCCACATCATTCAGGGGAGTGAATCATGTAAGCCTTATATGTATATTCATATCTCTACCTAGCATGAGGCATTTTGGGAGCTCACTGGTTTCGGGTTCCATCGGAACTCCGAAGTTAAGCGAGTTCATGCAAGAGCAATCCCTGGATGGGTGACCCATTGTAAAGTTCTTGTGTGAATTCCCAAAAACAAAACCGTGAGGGCGTGGTCGGGGCCCAAAGCAGACAATATTGTGATTTGGTGGAGTAGAGCCCGGGATGTGGTGGAGGCTTGGGCCAGGATGTGACAATTTGGTATCAAAGCTAATCCCTGGCCGAAAGTGTGCCTACGAAGACTTCGGACCCCTACGGAGGGTGGATTGTAACATCCCACATTGCCTAAGGGAGTGGATCTTGTAAACCTTATATGTATATTCTCATCTCTACCTAGCATGAGGCCTTTTGAGATCTCACTGGTTTCAGGTTCAGTTGGAACTCCGAAAATAAGCGAGTTCGTGCGAGAGCAATCCCAAGATCGGTGACCCACTAGGAAGTTCTCGTGTGAGTTTCCAGAAACAAAACCGTGAGGGCGTGGTCGGGACCCAAAACGGACAATATATGCTACGGTGGAGTCGAGCCTGGGATGTGGTAGGGGTCCGGGCTGGGATGTGACACAAGGAACCACATGTCAAACATGTTTTATGAGAAAACTTATTACTAAGCCTTCTTTTGACAAGATTCGTTCGAATCCTCCCATTTTTCTATAACGGATTCAAGAGGACATTTGTGGACCGATTCACCCTCCATGCGGACCATTTAGATACTTTATAGTTTTGGTTGACGCTTCCACATGATGGTCACACGTGTGCTTGTTGTCCACAAGGAATGCTGCATTCTCCAAACTATTGGCTCAGGTTATTAAGCTCAGGGCTCACCACCCTGATTATTCGATCAAATCTATTCGATTAGATAATGCTGAAGAATTCATATCTAAAACTTTTGATGACTATTGCATGTCAGTTGGGGTTAAAGTTAAACATCTCGTACCTTATGTTCACACCCAGAACAGCTTGGCAGAGGCTTTCATTAAGCGGTTACAAATGATTGCTCAATTGTTGGTCATACGTACCAAGCTCCCAATGGCTGCTTGGGGCCATGCAATATTGTATGCAGCAAAGTTGGTTCACCTAAGGCTTGTTACGACATAACCATTTAGTGTCATTCAGTTGGTTACCAAATACAAACCCGACATATCGCATAAGCGTATTTTTTGTTGTGCGATCTATGTACCGATCTCGCCACCTTTACGTACAAAAATGGGGCCTCAGTGAATGATGAGAATCTATGTTGGATATGATTCTCCTTCGATTATTCGTTACTTAGAATCTTTGACAGACGATTTGTTTATCGCTCGTTTTGTGAATTGTCACTTCTATAAGACATTTTTCATGTCGTTAGGAGGAGATAAGAACGTCAACATTCCTAAAGAACGATGGGAATTATCGTGGACGACCCTCACTTTGTCTTATTTAGATCCCAGCACCGGTCAGTCTGAAACTGAAGTGCAGCGCATATTAGATCTCCAGAGCATAGCTCAGAGCATGCCAGATGCTTTCACCAATCTAGTGTGAGTGACAAGATCACATATTCTAGCTGCAAATACGCCTACAAAGATGGATGTACTAAATGTATGACAGACTTCCCTCCTGGAGGCCCAGAACGCCAATCTTGGTAATCCACGTACATTAGCCGCTAGCCAATCATTTGCCCCTACATAAAAGCGTGGCAAACCTCTTAGTTCAAATGATTCACACCCCCTGGAAAAGGAAATCCACGGAACAAGGTCCTGAAGAGCCTACCGTGAATCTGACTATCGCTTACTCATTATATCCAACTCATGAGGAAATTCTAGATTATGAAAGCGTCCTTAAAGAGGCGAATCCTCCTCCCGAGAATCATGAGATTTTGGTCTATTATGCTAGCTTAGATGATGTGTGGCGTAGAAATGAGATGATTGTTGACGATGCATTAGCATTTGTAGTAGTTACTGAGATCATGTTGAACGATGACATTGAACCGCGTTCCGTTAATGAATGTCGACGTAGAACTGATTGGTCAAACTGGAAATAAGAAATCCAAGTCGAACTCGATTCACTTGCGAAACGTAAGGTGTTTGGACCTGTAGCTCATACTCCTCCACATGTAAAGCCCATTGGCTACAAGTAGGTTTTCGTTTGAAAGCGTAATGAGAAGAACGAAATTGTGCATTACAAAGCTTGTCTTGTTACGCAAGGCTTCTCACAATGCCCCGGGATTGACTATGACGAAACTTATTCACCCGTTATGGATGTGATTACTTTTCGTTACCTTATCAGTTTGGTAGTTTCCGAAAAATTAAGTATACAACTTATGGACGTAGTAACTGCGTATCTTTATAGGGATCTTGATATGGAAATTTATATGAAAAATCTTGAATGACTTACATTGACTGGTTCAAATATTTCCAAACCCCGGAACACGCTCTCAATTCGGCTGAGGAGTTCACTCTACGATTTGAAGCAATCTGGAAAAATGTGGTATAACCGTCTGAGTGAGTATTTGACTAGTCAGGGATATGTGAACAACAAACTATGCCCTTATATGTTCATTAAGAAGTCACATTCCGGATTTGCGATTGTTGCAGTATATGTTGATGACATGAATCTCATCTGAACTCTTGAAGAGCTCGCGAGAATTGCCATGCACTTGAAGTCAGAATTTGAGATGAAAGATCTAGGTAAGACTCGATACTGTCTCGATCTCGAGATAGAGCATTGTTCAGATGGAATCTTAGTACATCAATCGAACTACACCAGAAGGTGTTGCGCTACTTTAATAAGGATAAAGTGAAGCCTTCGAGTACTCCTATGGTCGTTCGATCACTAGATGCAAAACGAGATCCCTTCCGTCCGAATGATGATGATGAAGAGATTTTGGTGCCTAAAGTTCCTTATCTAAGTGCGATATGCACTTTACTGTACTTAGCTCAATGCACTAGACCCGACATTTCCTTCGCTGTTAATCTTTTGGCAAGATACAATAATGCACCAACATACAACCATTGGATTGGCGTGAAATACATCTTCCGTTACCATAAGGGTACTACGGATTTAAGATTGTTCTATCCCTATGGATCCTCGAGTGATGCCGCACCCTCTGGTTCTCAAGTCGATTCTCGCCTTGTTGGTTATGCCGATGCAAGATACTTGTCTGATCCACACAATGCGCGTTCTTAAACGAGTTATGTCTTTACCGTTGGAGGCACCGTAATCTCTTGGAGGTCAACTAAACAGACCTTAGTTGCCACTTCGTCTAACCATGCTGAAATTCTTGCTTTACATGAAGCAACTCAGGAATGCTTTTGGTTGAGATCAGTTGTCAGTCATATTCGAAGCTCATGTGATCTTTACCCCGTCGTTGATATCCCAACGATGATCTTTAAAGACAACGCAGCATGCATCGAACAACTCAAGAAGGGTTATATCAAAGGAGACAACACCAAGCACATTACACTGAAGGTTTTCTTTTCACGTCAACAACAAAAGCATCAGAAGATTAAAGTCACGCAAATCCGTTCACAAGACAATTTGGCCGACCTTTTCACCAAATCATTGTCGAATATGACGTTTCAGAAGCTTGTTCATGAGATTGGTCTATTTCTCTTTGGAATTGTGTCAAACTCAGGAGGAGTATCCTAAAGAATACTTACTCAATCTTAATGTACTCTTTTTCCCTACGATTAGGATTATTTTTCCCACTGGATTTTTGCTACCTAACTAGGTTTTAACGAGACACCTACCTTGGGCTGGTCATATCCTTGATGACATCCTGTAGACGTTTCTTTTGACTTTGCATTTCTCACGCATTTTTCCTTAGACTATGGATTTTATCCCTACTCGAGTTTTTGCCATAGCCTTAGGGTTTTTTAGTGAGACTTACTTACTTATGCAAGTTTTTACCTTATTGAGAATAAGCGTTGTTCCTTAGAATCAGTGTCGACGAGTCGACTTCCTCAACTTCTGCATGATGCTGGATCTACCTTGAGTATTTATACACTCAAGGAGGAGTGTTGTAAACTTTCCTAGTTTAAGTGTGATTGTGTAAATCCTAGATTAGTTTGATTCAAGTTATCATTTTCTAGTACAACTTGTATTCTTTGGCGATGAAGGAATTTCTTCTCTCCTTTACTACTATAAATAAAGGCACTATGTAGAAGGGATAACACATACATTCCCCTACAATTCTACAAACACATCTCTCTCAATCTCTCTCCTCCTTGCCACCGGCCCTCTTACCCTTGTCAGATAAAATAAGCTACATATTATACCTATTTTCTTTTCTTTCTTTTTTTTTTTAAATTCCTCTGCACTGTAAGGTTGTTAAATGATGTCCGACATTTTGGAGATTTTAAGCCCCCAGATTTCACTTCCAGGCTCCGCTAGTACTTTTCTTAAATTTGAATTTAAAAATAGTTAGAAACTCAAAATGGTCAAATGGCTTCTGAAGTAGTTATAACATTTTCCTTAATGCTTATAAAAAATATCTCTAGTGAAAAGACCAACATTCACATTTTTTCACAAAAAACTGTGAGCTAATAGTTACTCTTATTTTTGGTTTTGTGGATTGCTTAGAAAACCATCATAAACCCCGTTTTCAAAACATTTCACCGCACTGTTAGCTTCTTAGGAGCTGGTTTTAGAGTATTATTTAAGCCAATTCGACTTTGAAGTAGAAAGTTGTCCAGATCGTAATAGTTGTTGAGCCTTAATTATTAATCAAACTAGGCAGGCATATATCAGGCCAAAACACAAGCTGGTTAGCAGCATCTTGACGGAGAAAGGTAGCTAGGCATGCCTTGTCCATCCATGAGCAAAATTTTGGCCCAAAAAAAAAAAAAAGAATGATGAGCCAAATCCAACATCAAAACAACCCAATAAGACTGGCCCAAGCAATGAGTTTCCGGTTTTACCCTTGAAGGCAAGTCTTTGCCCGTTTAATCATCTCTCTTTTTCTCGATCTCTTTGTATAACCTCTATTATCGTTTATATTTTCATTTCAATTCCAATTCCACTATTTTTGCAATCGAATCAATCTCCACCCAATCTCTGTTTTCGTACCGTGTGACAGCTTGAGCCTTGAGTCCCCTAAGCAAATAACACAAAGAAGCTTCCTCCATAGCAGAAGAGAAGTGAGCAGCCATGGGCAAACTGGCCAAGTTGAATTCCAAGTCCAACAAAAGGAAAACTTCCAAGAGTATGCTCTCTTTTATTTTTGCCTTTATTATTAAAGTCATTTTCATTAAATAAAGTTATTATGTTGTTTTTGGTTAAAAAAAAGTTTGAAGAATCTCTTTTCATTAAAACTTTTTTTTTATTATACACTTACCACAAATTTGTATCATCACTCTAATAAAGGTATGACCCACCAACACATATGAGTCTCATCTCTAAAAATATGATATGAGACTTACATATGTTGGAGGTCCCTATCTTTATTAGAAAGGCAGTACAATTGTAATATAAAAAAATATGATAAGTATATCATTACTCTTTTATTGCACGTCCTTAATTCATTTTTTAGTTTTTGTTTATCCATAAAATCACCATCATTTCCGTCTTTTTATTATTTTTATGGAATGTAACCAACCAAGAAATGGATATGGACAGCGAAGGAGATATTATTAAATTGGAATTGGTCAATATCGTACCACAAGCACAAAAACAAATGGTCAATATTGTACCACAAGCACAAAAACAAAATTATCATCAGAGGCAATAATGGACTTAAAGTCAAGGCGTTCCCTATATATTCTTTGTAGTTTTCCCAATTCAAAATTCTACTGGGGTAGATGGATGTGGGTTTGATCAGCTGGTGAGGGCAATATATGCCATCCTTTTATGCTCGAGTTTGAATCGTCTTCTCCTGACTTAGAATAGGATATAGGAATACAACCCAATTGGCCTGATGATTAGCGAAGCAGTTGCATCGTGCTAGTTGGTGGTCTATTAAACCAAGAACTGAAGACAAGTTGGTTACTATAACAATATAATGAAACACTACACTTAACTTGAACAACAGAAATGGATTCCTCAAGATTGCTAATTCTCTTCATTGTTCCCGTTCTCTTGGACCTTCTTGCACCCACCGGAGCCCAAGTCAACGACGGTACATGCACTTATACAGCTGACTTCTGCTGGAGATGTTCCAACATCGGCACCTACGAAGACGGTGGCACCTACCAAAAAAACCTCGACACCCTCCTCTCCTCTTTCTCTTCCAACGATCAAACCAATTCCGGCTTTTACAATTCATCAATGGGGCAAGACCCCGACAAAGTGAACGCAATTGCATTGTGCAGAGGAGATGTGTCCCTCAACAACTGTCACACTTGTGTCAACCAGTCTAGTCCCTTTCTCTTCACGAATTGTTCGAATCAAGATGAAGCAATCGTATGGGCGGAGCGTTGCATGGTCCGATACTCGAGCAAATTAATATTTGGTATTCAGGAGGATGAGCCTATTAAGTATGTGCCTAGCCTGACTGACGCAATTGATCCCCAGAAATTCGATTTGGTGCTCAATCTCTTTTTGGATACTTTGACTGAGAAAGCTGCGTCGGGGGATTCTCTTAAAAAATATGCAGCCGGACATACGATTATGCAGGAAAGTACGACAAACCAAACAATATATGCACTTGTGCAGTGCACTCCAGATTTAGATAAGCAAAATTGCAGTGATTGCCTTAAAGGGGCTATCTCAAAAATACCAGATTGTTGTGGTGGAAAGCAAGGAGGCAGAGTTCTTAAGCCGAGTTGTAATTTGAGATTCGAGGCAACTCTTTTCTACGAGCCTACCGCGGATTCTTTGGTGACTCTCCCATCTGTAAAAGGTATGGTTAAACTTAACGTCTTAATTACAAATATTTTTTTTTTCTTTGCTTTCTATATGCGACACTCAATAAAATGAACGCACCCATCTGATGCTGAGCAGGAAAGAAGAGTACCATATCAAAAGCAGTCATCATCATCATCGTCGTTGTTGGGGTTGTTTTTGTCGCTATGATTCTTATCGGAATATTGATTTCCTTAAGAGTGAGGAGACGATGGAAAAAACAAAAACTTGAAAGTAAGTTCAATTGTGATAATTGTCACATAGTCTCATGTATTATGCAATTATCTCAGTAGCGTTTTAGGACATATATGTTATGATTAAGCTGTCACTTTTCAGATGATAATTCGGATGACGATAGTCTGGTGGAGTCGTTGCAATATGACTTTGAAACTATAAAATCAGCAACTGATGACTTCTCTGATGCAAATAAGCTTGGACAAGGTGGATTCGGACCTGTCTACAAGGTAACAAAACACTATATTACAAGAAAAACGATTTACTGAAAAATTGTTTTACCCAACTAAGTTTTTATTTTTTCTCTGTAAACTTCAGGGTAGGCTACCAAATGGAAGATATATAGCCGTGAAAAGACTCTCTAAGAATTCTGAGCAAGGTGATCGTGAATTTAAAACTGAAGTCACGTTAGTTGCTCAACTTCAACACCGTAATCTAGTAAGGCTGCTAGGTTTTTGCTTGAAAGCAGGGGAAAGGATCCTCATTTACGAATATGTGCCTAACACAAGTCTGAATCACTTCATTTTTGGTACGTTTGCTCTGCCTTTTGGCATAATTCATAACATTTCCTCTCAATTTTATATTACTGAAAATTGTATCAACAAAGGAAAAACTTATGCATCATATTTCAATCTATTGCGCTTGTATTTAGATCCAGTCAATCAAGGATATTTGAATTGGGAAACACGTTACAAAATCATAGGAGGGATTTCTCGAGGGCTTCTTTACCTTCATGAAGATTCTCGTCTTCGAATCATTCACCGTGATCTTAAACCTAGCAACATTCTGTTAGATGAAGATATGAATCCTAAAATTGCAGACTTTGGCATGGCTCGATTGTTTACGATGGATCAAACTCAAGGAGATACTAAGACAATTGTGGGGACCTAGTAAGTATCCAAAAATTCTAGCTAAGTTAGTATCCTAAATTCATGTTTTTAATTTGGTGAATATAATCATGCAGTGGATATATGGCTCCAGAGTATGCAATTCATGGACGTTTTTCTGTCAAATCGGATGTTTTTAGTTTCGGTGTGTTAGTTCTCGAGATCTTAAGTGGTAGAAAGATTGCCAATTTCCGAAGTAGTGAGAATGAAGAGGACCTTTTAACCTATGTGAGTAAGAATATAATTTTTAATTTTACACATGATTTAACACTTAGTATATGAACTTTCTTTCATTAATGTAGTTCTCAACTTTATTATAGGCATGGAGAAACTGGAAGGAGGATACGGTGTCAAATATCATAGATCCTGTGTTAGCGACAGGATTAGGAACCGAAATAATGAGATGCATCCACATCGGTTTACTTTGCGTCCAAGAAAATGTGGCTAGCAGACCAACCATGGCTTCAATTGTTTCGATGCTTAATAGTCATTCTGTCACACTCTCATTACCTTCAAAACCTGCATATTATTTGCATAACAGTGAAAATGACACCACGGAAGGAACAAAATCATATGGATCTAAAAATTCTGCGGATGTGTCGATAAATGAGGACTCAAACATTACAGAGCCATATCCTCGTTAGTGGGGCTGATTATAAATGTAGGCTTTCTGGTTTATTTTTAAGCACAAGTTTGTTATAAGACGGGTAGTGTTATGTGTACTTAGAACACCGTGACCTGATCTATGATCCATAGAATCGTCCAGAGTTACGTGCTCAGAAGAACAAATGATTTGGTCAAATAAGAAAAAGAAAGAAACCACCAACTGCAGCTGAAGTTTAAATTTTCACAGATTGCATCGATCATAGAAGGACATGTGGGAAGCGTCCTCGATTGTCGTTTGCCGGCGAGGGCCTTGATGCTAGGGTTTTTATTCCCTCTCTTTTGAAAGTATTGTTTCGTTGAAAGTTGCAAGCTTTGACTCCCTTTTATTATATAAATTGTGTCCTCGCATGTAATATATATGTTGTGTGTTGGAACAGATATATAATTTCTATAGAAAATTAGATTTTAATTCTTAAATAAGATGAAGTTTAGAAAAATGTCTTATACATGATTAAAAATAATCTTAGTCTCTAGATTCTATATATAGGGAACTTTAACGAAAAGCACCCGGTACTGTTCACTTTAACGAAAAACCACATTTTTACACTAAAAAGTCAATCCTGGTACTATTCACTTTACCCTTTATTTTGTCCTTATTATTAAAACTCAAAGTTTTCAAGCCCTTTTCATTAGTTTTCCTTTCTATTTAATGTCAGTATATACATTCAATGTCTTTTTACTATATAATTTTATGGTTGCCACTAAGCAAACCCAAAAAGCTATTTTTTTTTTAATAAACGATATTATCTACTCTAAGGTGATGAGGGATTGGCCTAAGCCTTACAATGGGCTAGCAATAATAATGTGGTTCAAATTCGCTTTTGACAAAAATAGAATATAAAACTTCTGACTTACAAGTGAAAAAGAATATTATTAGACTGTAGTACTAAGTGGTAGGTAACAAGAAGCAACCTTATATTGAGTACTGCTTTTGGTGATTATAGTGAACGATTCATATTATGTCAGCAACTATATATATGCTATGTTTGTGGATATAGAGTTAAGCAAAGTCAATTAGTGGGAAAACAAGTAGATGAGTTTCATTTTTATTTTTTATATAAAACCAAGAAATTGTTATTAACTCTCAAAAAATCTCATTATACACTCATCACAAATATATTTTCTTTCTAATTTCCACAAAGTGGATCCGAAGAGGATCCTCTACATCGTTGAATCTAAATTTTTATATTTCTCATTGGTTCATTTATAATAATTTAAAACAAAATATAAATATACATATACATAGTATTGCCTTTTTCTTTGTGGTTGGCCTTCAACAAAAAATTGCGCATGAATTAGGCATTCGGCCTAATCTCCCTTCAAGGGTTTGAGAATTACTTCCAATAGGTGCCAAAACATAAATTCCACGTATAATGACAAAAAGTTGAGAGGTACCGCTTAGAAAAAGTCCAATGACATCTATAAGCTTATAAAGTCACATATAAACTTAAAAGACAGACTCTCTTTTTTCGGTAAACACAGAGACTCTTTCTTTGTTCATACGGGATTGGTCTATTTCTTGATTTAATACTAGATAATGACCACCAACTGTCACGCCCTAATCCCGACGTACGTCCAGGATCGAGATGTCATCAAATAACCATATATCTAACATACCCCGCCTTCGGGATATGAATAAAGCCTAATTCAATACTCGAATTGCGTTACAATTTTGGTATACTTTATGGCTGTATCTAATCTCCTCGTTAGACTGCCTACGTACCCACATTTGGGATCAAGCCATTCGTAGTTCGTCATTTCACTACAATCAAATATTCATCACATAGATCGCTATGTCTCAACAATATATCACAATGCATATCATACAATATTACAAAGAACAAACAACGGAGCACAATCATATTCACTAGTCTCAATGGTAAACAAGTATAATCATAATTACAATAACCATAGCCAACATCATTCCATAATCACCTCAAACAATAATGCCAACCATCGCATCATCAATATCACATACCACTCATCGAAATGTAGGGCTAGAGCGGCATAATTCGACTGAAGCCTACATCTCGGAATTTCGAACTACAAAACGGAGTCAAGACAACAAAGGGGATTCCGGACCATCACTCAACGAAATTCAACCCAGGATACGATTTTGGACCATCACTCAACGGAATCGCAAAGTAGAAGGGATTCCGGACTATTACTCAATGGAATCCAAACCATGATACAATTCCGGACCATCACTCAACGGAATCGCTGAGTATAAGGGATTTCGGACCATCACTCAACAGAATCCAAACCAGGACACGATTCCGGACCATCACTCAACGGAATTGTGAAGTATATAATGTATAACACCAATCAATGAACCAAGACATGAATCAAGTTACTCAAGTTACAAAGACTCAACGAAACGAGAATAAAATAATGACACAAGGGGTGAAACATGTTTCGAAGCAACAAACCCCATGACAATGGGTTAACGGTCCACTATTAGCCCTCGCATTTCATTATCAATCCAATCATACAATACAAACCATATCTCCAATGTACAAGTCAAATCATACTTAATGAAAATAGATCAATAGTCAGAAATAAAAATAACACTTCAATAGAATTTACATTTAATAAACATAGGTCTATGGCATATATATATAATTCACATGTCAATATAAATGTCATTTATAACCCAAATCATATTCACAAATGATATTAATATAAGAAATTAAGGTAGTAATTACATCACATATATTCCAGTCACTCTCTAACCAATGTGACCCCACTAGACTTACTTAGTATCCTGTGGTACTATATTTAGTATTTAAAACGTTTCGAAACATATTGACCAAAAGTCAACTCTCGAGCAACGGTAAGGTCCACAACCCTGCGAAATTCGATCCGGAAGATCCGTACATCGGATTTCCGATCCATAACCTCCCAAAGTCCACATTATGCTCATAGAACCATATACTAAATTCTCATCGCGATCCAACAATCAGATCTCCGCCAATTGCTAGAATTAGGTAGCGGTTAACAATTAATTTTACAAACTTAGAAATCCAATTAGGGAAAATCCGTACGTTGGATTCTCGATCCGTAAGTTTCTATGATCCAAAAATATTATTTTCTATCACACATTACGGTTTGGTGACGATCCAACGGTCAGATCGTTGATTCATATTTTGACCAAGTAAGGTATCGTAATGAAACTAAGTCCAAACTATCAAATTACGTCATACGGTTATCAATTATGAAATCAAGGCATCTATTTGAACTTAAAAGGACATCGTCGGCCCACTGGCCAGGCCGCCGCCGCGGGTGGCGGTCGGCCGCCCCAACTTGCCGGAAAATTCAATTATTTTTAAAAATTACCAAAAATTACAGAAATGAAGATCTCAAATAGTAGAGCAAACTTTATACATGTGGCCAAGTCCAATTTGGCCGGGAAGAGCTCCAATTTCACTCAAATCCGCCGGAAACCCTAGAAATGGGTGTGCCTCAATCCTACAATTCCATAGCTCCACCGCCCCCAAACTTGTTTGGGCTTTCATCCAGACCTCAAGGGGAGTTGAACCATGGTGGTAGTCAATGGTTTTGTCTTCACAAATGGCGGAATCGCCGTTGTCCACCCCACCACCCACCGGTGCATATCTCACGAATACAAGGCCAAAATAGCTCGATTTTAGGTGGAAAGATGAAGAGGGAGTAACGAAGTGATGATTGGTGGCGGTAAATCATCTCAATTCGTCGGAAAATTGACGATTTTCACCGAAAATTATACCGGGTCGCGATGGGTCAAGGGGAAACCGGTTTTCCCCCTCATTTTCTCATTCCCTCCTTTCCCTTCTTTCTCCCTCTCTAATTCGTCACTTCTTTCCTCTCCCCTCTTCTGATTCGTACCCCTCCTCCCTCCTTTCTCTCCCGCACCTCCTTTCCTTTTCTTCTTCCTTTTCTCAGCCACCCCCCGTGGCTTTTTCTTTAATCCTTTTTTTTTCTCCTTAATTAATTAAGGGCAACTTTTTAATTGTAGCTTTTTCACCTTGACATCTTTTGAGTACACAATCTCAACACTCTACAATTAATATAAATTCCAAAAATAATATAATAACTCCTTAATATACATACGTAGTTTGCAATAGTGAAAATCAGGGACGAGATTTCAAGTATGTATACTTAATTGGTTGAAGGAAAGCTCAAGTATGTATACTTATTGTGAGCTTGAAGCCTAATTGTGACTAACACTATTTTGGGTGAAGTGACTTTAATTTATTGTGGCATTGTGAGTCATTTTATATATAACGTCTTTGTAAACATATATATATATAATTACTAGAAATTTTGGAACACTATTTGCTATATTGGTCAAAGGAAAAAACCTGCAAATCAAATTAAGGGTCAGGAACCATTGGGACAATAGTGGATTTTGAGTTAGATCTGGCAATCGTGTCGTGTGTGTCGTGTTCGTATCGTTTTTGTGACATATCCGATATATTAATAGATTGAGTCATGTCAAATCCGTTAAAATGGAGTACTATGACCTGACCTATCTCGATTCATTAACATTAACAGGTAATAGATCTAACCCGTTACATGATAAAGAAAATATATTTTATTTTAATAAATAATTAAATAACATAAAAAAACATTTGTCTTTCAAATATCTACAATCTAACTGTGAAATACCAAAGCCGTATAACATAGGTTGTCTCAATTGACAACCCTAAATTTTAGAGTATTATTTAAGCCAATTGGAAGGAGGATACGGCGTCAAATACCAAAGCCGTATGAACTTTCTTTGTTTAATGTAGTTCTCAACTTTTATTATGGGCATGGAGAAATTGGAAGGATACGGTGTCAAATATCATAGACCATATGTTAACAACAGGATTAGGAACCGAAACAATTAGATTCATCCACATTGGTTTACTTTGCATCCAATAAAATGTGGTTAGCAGACCGACCATGACTTCAACTGTTACACTTTCATTACCTTCAAGACCTGCATATTATTTACATAACAGTGAAAAAGACACCACGGACGGAACACAATCATAGGAATCTAAAAATTCTGTGCATGTGTTGATAAATGAGGACTCAAATATTACTGAGCTATATCCTCATTAGTGGGGTTGATTATAAATGTAGGCTTTCTGGTTTATTTTTTTAAGGGCAACTTTGTTTTAAGTTGGGTCTTGTGGAGAAAATTTTATATGTATTTTAAACACGTGGTTGATTCATTATCCATGAAATCTGTTCAGATTGACGAGCTCAGAAGAACAAATGTTTTGATCAAATAAGAAAAAGAGAGAAAAGACCAATTGCAGCTTAAGTTTAAATTTTCACAAATAGCATCAAGCATAGAAAGAGAAGGCACCGGATAAGTTACAAATATGTACATATACTTGAGTCAAAATAAACAAACAAGAGGGAGCCTTCACAAAGGTTGCTTAGGAGAAGTCTCAGCAGTCGGTAGAGCCCCAGAAAGAGAAGGCACCAGAGGGGGGATCATTCGGAGCCTCAGTACTGGACAGAACCCTAGAAGGAGGAGGCATCAGAGGTTGATCATTTGGAGCTTCATTACGCGGTACAGCCCCAGAAGACGAAGGCAATAAATGCCTTTGGAACAAACCCACAAATCTCTGATGATCAAGTAAAACCTGACCATCAGATTCCTTCATCTGGTCAAGCTTCCTCTTCATGTTTGTAGCATAGTCATGTGCGAGCCGGTGCAACTGTTTATTCTCATGCTTGAGCCCTCTAATCTCCTGTTTTAGACTCATCACTTCAGCCGCCAATGATTCACTTGGCGGGTTCGAGCAAATAGGCGTTGGGCCATATTAGACACAGAACCTGTACACTGAACACTAAGAGCCAGAGAATCCTTAACAACCAACTCATCAGACCGTTTGGAAAGTAGTCTGTTATCTTTGGGAGTGAGAAGGTTCATGGCCACTACCGCAGCGGTCATATCATTCTTCATCACGGAATCCCCAACGGTAAGAGGACCAGTAGGGGAGACGAAGGATGGGCGCCATATGTTGTCTGGAGAAGGCGGGGCTGCCTCTTCAACAAGGTTCAAGTCAAAACGACGGTCGGAGGGGCCAGACATTTTCAAAGGTGTTGAAGAGAGAAGAGGTCGGACAAATCAAGATCTTAGAAGTGCAAGAATGGAGCTTCTACGGGTGGATATTCAAGTGTGCTTTGGAACTTAATTGTCAGCCCCTATAAAAATCTGCACTCGACGAAGCTTCAGAAATCGAAGAGGCGCCTGCTCAGAAATCGAAGAGGCGTTTGCTTTCTCAAAAGCTGGGCTGCTCAGAGACCACGAGGGTCGATCTCAAAATCGAAGAGGCGTTTGCTTTCTCAAAAGCTGGGCTGCTCAAAGACCACGAAGGCCGATCTCAGAAATCGAAGAGGTTTGCTTTCTCAAAAGCTGGGCTGCTCAGAGACCACGAGGGCCGATCTCAGAAATCGAAGAGGCACCTACTTTTCCAGCCTTGTCAGCACCTGTCACACGCACACTCAGCTTTGCGGAAATTATGGGCATTCTGTCGAAGATTTCGGGCGAAGTAGAAAGCACATGAATCGTACTGTTCAATCACCCACTTCCCACACGCAACAGTAGCTCATGGGTACCACATATAACTTTGCCAAAGTTCTCTAACAAAGTTGAGACTACTTTTCCAGCCTTGTCAGCACCTGTCACACGCACACTCAGCTTTGCAGAAATTATGGGCATTCTGTCGAAGATTTCTGGCGAATTAGAAAACATATGAATCGTACTGTTCAATCACCCACTTCCCACACGCAACAGTAGCTCATGGGTACCACATATAACTTTGCCAAAGTTCTCTGACAAAGTTGAGACTACTTTTCAAGCCTTGTCAGCACCTGTCACACGCACACTCAGCTTTGCAGAAATTATGGGCATTCTGTCGAAGATTTCTGGCGAAGTAGAAAGCACATGAATCGTACTGTTCAATCACCTACTTCCCACACGCAACAGTAGCTCATGTGTACCACATATAACTTTGTCAAAGTTCTCTGACAAAGTTGAGACTACTTTTCCAGCCTTGTCAACACCTGTCACACGCACACTCAGCTTTGCGGAAATTATGGGCATTCTGTCGAAGATTTCTGGCGAAGTAGAAAGCACATGAATCGTACTGTTCAATCACCCACTTCCCACACGCAACAGTAGCTCATGGGTACCACATATAACTTTGCCAAAGTTCTCTGACAAAGTTGAGACACGTGAAGCTTGCATCTCTCACTACATCGCTCTGACCAAGAAGGGTAAAAGAATAGCAAAGAAACAACACTAACAAAGTTTAGACACATAAATTTTGAAGGCCTAGCTACCATATTATTACCCACAAGGGTAAAGGAACAGTACCACTGCTGGATAATTGGAAAGTCCCGGTGTGTCAACCTCTATGCTTCGTGGCAAGGTAGACTAGCAAACATGCCCAACCTTTACTCACATTCGAGAAAACACTCCCAACAAGATTGCTTGCACCAAAATCGAAGAGGCATCGCCCTCCGAATCTCGAGAGCCAAACTCCCAACATGATTACTTTCTCAAAAATCGAAGAGAGGGTAAAGGAACAGTACCACTGCTGGATAATTGGAAAGTCCCGGTGTGTCAACCTCTGTGCTTCGTGGCAAGGTAGACTAGCAAACATGCCCAACCTTTACTCACATTCGAGAAAACACCCCAACAAGATTGCTTGCTCCAAAATCGAAGAGGCACCGCCCTCCGAATCTCGAGAGCCAGACTCCTAACATGATTACTTTCTCAAAAATCGAAGAGAGGGTAAAGGAACAGTACCACTGCTGGATAATTGGAAAGTCCCTGTGTGTCAACCTCTGTGCTTCGTGGCAAGGTAGACTAGCAAACATGCCCAACTTTTACTCACATTCGAGAAAACACTCCCAACAAGATTGCTTGCTCCAAAATCGAAGAGGCATCGCCCTCCGAATCTCGAGAGCCAGACTCCCAACATGATTACTTTCTCAAAAATCGAAGACACCGTTCTCCGAATCTCGAGAGCCAGACCCCCAGCAGGATTGCTTTCTCAAAAATCGAAGAGGCATCGTTCTCCGAATCTCGAGAGCCAGATCCCCGACAGGATTGCTTGTTCGAAAACCGAAGAGGCACCACTTTCCCAACTTCAAGAGTCGGATCTCCTTGGATAAAGCTTATCTGTAATCTTCACACGCAACATCAGCTTTCCAGATACCACAGACCACTTTTTCAAAGTGCTCTGACAGAGTTAAAACTTGTGAAGCTGGCAGCTCCCACTACCGTGCTATGACCAAGTAGGGTAAAGGAATAGCATTATTACTTGATGTTAGGGAGACTCCTATATATGTCGACCTTCATCCCCAACGGACAGGCAGACCTGCAAAAATGCTCAACCCTTCCTCTTATCTGAGAGGGCACTCCCAACGAAGCCTTTCGAAATATTCAGCTTTCTTTCCCTCCGATAATACCTCTGTAAACAAGTTATACTAGAGCAAGAATATCTCATATCATCAGGGTTAAAAGCAAGAGTATCCCATATCATGCTTTTTCCCTGTCTTTTCCTTTGGCCTTGTTCTTACCTGCAAGACAAGGAGAAAGAGAGCAATCAGTCAGCACTTGGAATCAAGCTTCCAGCTAGGAACTGACTGCCTGGAACCCCTTACCTGATTACTTACCTGGCATTGCTCTCGAGTATTCATCTTCAACATCTTATGCTTCCAGGGAAGATAGCGCATCTGCCTGAGGAACAAATAGGGCAAGTGAGAAGGATACAAGGAAGCATGTGGAGACAAGCGTAACAGCACACGTGCCGATACATCCACTACTCTGTCAAAAGCAAAAGTATCCCATATCAGCAGAGTCGAACGTACTCTAGATTTGATGGACTTGTTTTGACCCTCAAATTCTTCAGTCGGCCTTATACTCTGGAGGAAACCAGAAAACCCTCAAGCCCAGTTCAAGAATAAGCATGTGGAAAGTTACTTCTTCAAAAGCAAAAGTATCCAATATCATCTATTCTCATTTTTCTTCTCTTTATCCTTCATGCTGCCTACAAGATAGGGAGAATGTGAACAATCAGTCGGAGCTCTGATTGCTTACCTTGTCTGTTACCTCTTTCAGCAGATCCCTTAGCTCGGCGACTTGGGGGACTCCTACTACATGGTTTGTACCGCGCTTGACCAAGCCTGAAACTACAAGTAAGCTTCAAGTGACATTGATACATTACCTTGTGCATCTCCACCAGTTACAGATACCACCCCTGGATGGAGGAAGAGTACTTCCAAAGAAGATGCCACATCTACCTATGACACAGATAAGGAAAGTCAAGACGATACCACACTCCGGTACTTAGAAGTTTCGTGGTTACGAGATCACTCTCCCACAATATTTCCCACATTATTTGCTTGTAGCTAAAAAAACAGAACCAACAGAAACACGCAAATAAAAAAATTCATGAAATTTGTTTCTACTAATCTATAATTCCAATTTGAATTCGAATTCACAGGAAACAAATACATAAATCCATGAAAAAAATGTAGCCATATGTAAAAAGAAAAAAAGTGTGAAGTAGATGATTTCATCAGAGAGCTTACCTCTGCAATCGTTGCCGACTTGAAGAAATCAAGCATCTGTAGCAGCGTTCAGAAAGAGATTTGACGAAAATGTTAGATTGAACTGAAAGGAAAACTTCATTGAATAAATTAAACTAAAAATGGGAAGTTAAAAAAAACCCCAGAAAATGCTCCAACAAAACTGTAAATTTCCATTTGAAAAATGCTAAAATGTAAAGTGAATTGAAAGTAAAGAAAAAGGAGGAATAAAAGGTAAAAGTTAAAGAATAATACCTCCCTGTACCTAGCCAAGTAAATCCTGAGGGGCTCGATATAGTCGTCAAACCCTAGTATGGCCATCGTCCACAACAAATCGTCGCCGTTGATGGTCTTTCGCTTTCTCCTTCTGGCTCTTATCGCTGGCGCTAGACACCCCAAAAAACCCCAATTCAAAATCAACACAAAAAATTCCGATTGAAAAGCAAAGTAAATAACAGTAGAGAGAGAAAGAGAGATAGAGAGAGAGAGGTGAAAATTACTCGCTGGTGACGAAGCTAATGAATTCGGAGACGCATTCCTGGACGGTGTTCGACTGATCGGCGCGAGTAGAGAGATGAGATCAGAAAGACAGAAAACTTAGGGTTTGAGAGATAAAGAAACTGAGGCAGAGGGAGACGGAA